TGTATATACAAATTTAAGGTTTTTTAGTTCAGCCCTATCTTATTCTATTATATATACTGATACTGATTACACATGGTTTTGCTATCAGCCTTGCAGACTCTTCCAGACAGAACAAGTGAAAAGGTCTGGCTCGCTTCCACATCACATCTGCAAAAAAAAAGTTACGATCTATCTCAACCGATCTGTATTCCCCCAAGAACATTTTGCGCAACACCAACCACTAATAGGAATCTCCGCTGTTCGCTTATTATCCGGAGGGGTCATTCTCCAACGCTTGCACAGGGCCCGTGGGAGAGAAGTCACTGCGGCCGGGTCTGCAGGTTCAAACACAATTCTCAAACAAAATTCATACATTGCATCCGTCGTTGAGGCATTTGTCTTCAGTTTAGCTGAGTCTGTGGTTCCAAGAGAGCCGTGCCGCGACGAGTTCAACAATGACCCATTGTATACTTTTAGATCGTCTAACGCCATCATTCTGACAGCTTAAATTCCTTATAGTTACCCAATACTTCCTCTTTCTAAGTGCCAAAATGCTTTGCTAAGATTTGGAATTCCAGGACAACATTTCGCTATGTAGCTACTTATAGTTCACCGGTAATTTTACTACAAATCGTTGTACTATTAGGCGGTTTCTAACGCACCCAGCCTCAAAGCGGGTGCTTCATACACAATGCCCGAAGCCGACAGATAGCACGGTTTCGACACATATGTGCAACAACACGGACACGCCAGTCCCAAAATTCAGACTCTAAGAGCTCGCTTCCAAGGTTGGAGAGTCAATCGAATTATGAAAACGCTGGTAGAGTTGACGAGACTAGTTGAATTGACACAAAATTCCCCGAGCTTCCCGCCACTCCCGCCCATAAAGAAAAGACGCTTACCAGTTCCAGTGAGATACCCCAACGCCCTGGCAGGGATCCGCGATGCGCTTGCGGCCATCGCCGCCGGTGCAGATATTGACGGGATAGCAATACTGGCCGCACATTCTCCAGTGAGTTGCGGACGGCTGCACCGAGGAAGAGACACCGTCAGCAGGCGGGACAATCGGCGGCGCCGGAGGCTTCACGGCCGCAGGGTCGCTGAATGGGACTCCGTTCCTGTTGGCGCTGATATCTCTGCCTGCTGCCACTTGTGCGGTGACCCAGACATTATAGGCGGAGCCGAGCTGAAATAACACAACGATGATGTTTGACTTTTCATCTGGATGCACTCGGTGTGCAATATTGGGCTAGAAGCGAGCTCGGGGAGGAGGATCATCTCTGCGCGACTTACGAGTTATATTCCATTCTCGGGCCAAATATAGGTACTCTTTGATACAATTAAGCAGATAATGGTAATCGCGAGTCAGATGGTCCTGAACGTGGTCAATGCATTTCGTACTGTACTGGCGCAGGCGGTACTAGTGGGGCGATAGGCGACCTCATCGTATATTACCCACCTACCGTTTTTCTGCTTGATCTCCATGCCGAGAGCGGGTTTCTTGCCATCCGCGAAGCCGGACTCTGGGATTCTATGATGAAGCATGCTGGCTCGAAGGCGAAGACTGCGTCGCCTCGGACAAACATGGGAGGGCCTTCATCAGTATCAAACCCATTGATGAGTGCGTTGCACCGATGTTTGAGATCGATCGCAAGCAATTAAGAGAGATGATGATGATAGTCTACTCCCAAGGAGGACATCCGTTGGGGAACTCTCTTACGCAGCATAAGCAGAAGTGATCAAGGGCCGAACATGCATTTCGAGTATAGCAGCGAGACTGGGTTCGATCTGGTGGTCGGAGCCGGTGGTACGTGGAGCAGAGTGCGGCCCATTTTCATAAAAAGTGTTCCCTCAAAGTGTTGGCTTTGGCGGCGTAAACCTGCTCATCTGTCAAGGAGAACTTTCTGGAGAATGGGAGCCAAGATCCGGACAACTCATCATTACGAGATGGTAATCCACCACCAAGAATCTTTCTCAACAACCGAGTAGCCATAGGTGAGAATCCAAGAAAAGTTCACCTTGACGGAAGATGCGACGCAGGTCACGTCAATCTGTTCTCGGAGGGGATTCACAGCATTGCTATGGTCGATATCCTGAATCTATGAAAGAGCCAACCAAGTTGAATGCTCCCGACTCGTTTACGTACCACAAGAATGCGCCTAAGTGATAATCGGGGGATCCATGAGAAGACAGGGTCGAGCACTGGTGCAGTGGAGTTGGCTTGGAGAGATCAAGAACCTATGGGTACATGCTTTGGAAGCAAAGGGGATAACAATTTGCAGATAAGAAACGTCTGAACCATCGTGCTCTTCGTCAGATTCTCTGAGCGCTCCGGCTCGTCTTCCACCATGGCGGCTGGTGCCCTGTAGACATCCCTTCTCCCATCAACCACTAAAAAAGTCGCAAGCCTTGCAGAGAGTAGTAGTCATGACACCTCAACTTGTTTCTATAATTTGTACGCACACAATGTCCCATGACGGTGAATGCTCCGGTCTAGATAATCTCCTGCTGATCGTTCCCGTCCAGAGCCTACATTCGGCGCCGTATAAATCGAGAAAACTACTCACAATGAAGAGTCCAGATCGGAAAGAAGGGTTTGAAAAAGCCTCCAGTTTTGTCGGATCTTTCAAAACCCAAAACTAGCAGCTTCGTGATTCTCTTCTCCAGACTGGACTTTTGAGACAGAAATCCGGGCCCTTGTTGCACCTCATTTGATAGGAAACCCGCATTATCAGTCACCCTAAAGATCTCTACTTTGCCTTCATCTCTTCTCGCGGCCAACAAACCATAAACATCCGCCCCCACAGCCGAGCTCAAAGTCTCAAGTTCTCACGCCAGCCCGCCAGAAGAAAAGCCTCCTATTCACCATCCCAGCCGTCCCACAATACTCATCGACGTTCTCACCTCTGGATCGTAAGTATCGTGTAACGAGCCTAGCTGCGTTTGAAGTATCGCAAGGATGCTCCGAAAGCGTTAGCACCAGGTCCGCCTTTCCAGGAAGCGCATACGCCGCACGCCGGGTTGCAACATGTTCTACGCGTGCGCTACCTGATTCGGGGATAGCGTGTATTTGAGACCTCTGTGCCTCCCTTCGCCGTGCCCGTCGCAACCCCATAAATTTTGGATCTTGTTCATGCGGAGAGGCCTGATTATTCCTCCCAAAGATATGAGCAGAAGTGCGCGATAGCGATAGGGAACGGGTACGATAGAAACGGCTGATAGAGTTCCGACCACCTTTCTTTCTCACCTCAATTCAATGACGGCTCCAAGACATGGACAACAGCGTAACCTAATATACTTACAATTGCAGCAAGAAGAAAGCGACCACTTGTATTGTGTGTCGCGAAGGATTCCTGCAACAAACTGTGCCACTTGCACCACCCTAGACTCAGGTTGGTGTCTACCTCCTCAACCGCAAAAGACTTCACGGCAAAGCCGAGAAAACTCTCCACGTGCTGCAGTGTTCGACATTATCCCATGCAGCACCGTCAACATTTCCACTTCTGGTCATCCCTCAGCGGTTCAACAGGTGGTACATCTCAGGTCGAAACATATGCGTATAAACCCCTCGGCACATTGTTTGCAGAAAGGTGAGATCATAAGCATATACATATGTTCTTGCTCGCGGACACATGAGCGTGGTAGGACTGAGACTTCCAGACCCCAATTCCTGATACGAACTTCGTAACGGAAGTGATGAGGCGAAAGACCTAGACCACAGACATGAAACCCGTTTATGATGACCAAGACTGCTAGAAGTCACCATGGTGAAACAGCATGCGGCCATGTACAAATCGAATGACCTCCCCCACCATCTCCTCTACTTCCATTACCATGATTTGGTGAGCTGCACGTCCACTTTCGTGAAAGCTACTCACGGTCCTTTCCACCATGCATATTTTTCCATTCCTCTCAATCGCTCTTACCGCACTGATTCCAGCAACCCTAGCCCAAGGTTATGGCGGCGGCTGGAACCGACATCGAACCTCTACCACCACCACCAGCCCAGCACCGTCCGAAGACACATCCCAACCCTCCACCTCCGACAACCCCAGCACACCAGTCGTCAGCACGGGCGGCGTGCACAAAGGCTTCAACTACGGCGCCGCGACCAACGGCGCCGCCACCGACTTCGCGGCCGAATTCACCGCCGCGCAAGAGCTTTCCCAAGCCTCCGGCTTCAACAGCGCACGCCTGTACACCATGATCGAATCCGGGACGACGGATACTCCATCCTCTGCGTTCAATGCGGCCATCAACACAGGCACGAGTTTACTTCTCGGGATCTGGTGTTCGAGCGGTCAAACAATCGTCACGAACGAGCTGAACGCCCTCGCGGCAGCCGTGAAGCAATATCCAAAACTCAATGCCCTGGTCGTTGGGATCTCCGTCGGCAGCGAAGACCTGTACCGGAACCCTCAAGGGGGTGGCGCCAGCGCCGCCACCATCCTCTCGTACATCAGCCAGACGCGCACCGCCATGAGCACCGCGGGGGTAAATTGGCCACTCGGTCACGTGGACACGGCCAACATCTGGCAAGAGAGCGACGGGGCTTCCCTAATTGACAAGATCGACTGGATTGGCGCGGACGTGTACCCGTACTACTCTAGCGGTTCTCCCTCCAGCCTCAGCGATTTCACCTCCGGCATGGCTGTGATTCCAAACTCGAAGCCCGTATGGGTAACGGAGACGGGATGGCCCACAAGCGGGACGTTCGCCGGGACGTCGTCGGTGGCGTCGTCGGAGAATGCAGCGACTTATTGGAAGACTGTGGGATGTGGGCATTTGTTTGGAGCGACAAATACGTGGTGGTATACTCTTTATGACGGGAATGTTCCCCTTCCTTTTGGGGTCAGTTCGTCGGCAGGAGGTACCAGTCCGAAGTATAGCCTTGCTTGCTAGAGGATGAACGAGCCCTGGCGGTTCTTCTTTCTTTTGAGTTATTTGTATGTTGACCTCGGGCTTTGGAATGCTGAGGTATAAAGACTTTCCGTGGGGTGAACACTGCATAATCTCGAACCTTAATCAAATCCCTTACCCGTGAATGTTCTCCTCGTCTGAGATTTAGGAGACAGCAACTCAGTAGAATTCCAATACTCGAGTGCATGTCGTTGTCAACCCTGTGCCTTGCAACTGCAGTGCCGACGTTAGCATCTCAGTCAGTGCTCAGACCTGCATAGAGCTTCCCAACAACTGGTTTCTCAACCTGGAAGCTCGTCAAGCAACAATGGCCAATACTCCCCTCTACTTTTACAACTCCCCACATCAGTGATTTCTTGGCAGCGTCTACATCCCCTCTCGGCCTATGACATGCTGCACTAATCGCCGCGCTACAGCTTCCAGCGAGCGGCATACCTGGTCGGAATATCCTGAACCCGTTGAGGATGCCGAGCAGTACAGCGATCGTACCAAGCGCGATGACCGTAATGATGGCGATGTTGGAATAGCCGATGTTGGAGATAGACTCACCCGGATCCACGACGCCTTCACTAGTGAAGGCCGATATGCGGGCGAGGAAGATACTTTGAGAGACTAGCCAGTGAAGGATCCCGGAAAGTACCAGCAACGGTACACCGTACTTGTATGGCAATTGCAGCCTGTAGGTCGAGCGCTGAGACCCTGTTGGACTCGTAACGCGCAAAGATTTCCTACTGTATGCGTATCCGGCCCATTCATTCGCAAGCAGCATACAGGTGAAGACGCCGTTGTACGCAAGATAGAGAAAAGAGAGTAAGACCTGTAGCGAATTGGCAACGAGGATGGCAACTAGTAATCCTCCGGTCCCGGGCAAGCTCCAGCTAATCATCGATTCAGATGCGACAGTGCCATAGCCCAGCTGCCACAAGTATGCTAGGCTACGGTCTGTGAGATTTGGATTCCCAATGCCCAATGCGAGACATCCGCCTGCGGCTCCTAGGGTTGCAACGCATCTACTGATGTGTTAGCACATTAGAATTTAGGGAACAGACATCCTGGGCAAATGTGGTGGCAACACGCAGTTGTAGTGTATTAGACTGTGGACTTGCTACTGCTCCTTCCCCCAGCCCCACCTACTCGGAGACACCAGATGAACGCTCAATGGACCAGAAGTCGAGGGCGGGGCCCAAAGGGATATTTTGGCTTAGGTGGAGCGACTCTAAAGTCATGGAGAATAAAAAGTACCCACAAGATGTTGCAAACCAGCCAACGCTTCAAGCTTGCGCTCGAAAACCACCAATGCCGGCGGTTTGACCACTCCATGGGTTTGTCTATCCACTGAGTTTTATTCGAGTTGGTTTTTTGCCACAAACGCCGAAGTCCGCGATTCTGTGACATTGATACTTTTGTCATTCGAGCGTCGTTAAAATGTGCCTTGCTGGCTAGGCACATTCCCTCAGTGCTCGGATCAGGTTCTTGTAGGAAACTTTGAATTGCATCCCCCAGAGTGACTAAAGGTTGCGACTTCTGATTTCTGATTGTAAGGAGCATGCAAAGAGCTTTAGTGGCGTTGCATGCTATCACGATACCCAGAATGACGAGACTGACCTGCACCCGACACTGCTCCTCTACTGGCTGGCTAAAGCAGTATTGAACCGGGCAGTTGTATTGTTGGATTTGATCATGTGTGGTCTGATTCGTTGTTAGTTCGTCATTGATTTCACAGTTGATTGTCCAGTTTGCAGCCCGATCTGCAACCGCATTTACCGAGCAGTCATTTGAGAATGTCTGCTCCGAGATGTCACACATCCACCATGTGTTTCCAAGCCCATTGCCGGGGCCGTACACAAGCGATACGATCATTTCCGACGCACTAATAGCTGGCGATATGAGCAGTAGATCTCCGTGGGCGGATACGTAATCCTGCCCGTAAGCCTTGATACAGTCTCTGTTGTCCAGCTTCTGCCATCCTGACGCATTTTGAAAATGCTGCATGGTGTCGAATGGTCCAGTGTTTGTCCAATTGGTTGGACCGGTCCAGTTGAGAGCCGTGCGATTGGCGGAAAATTCTTGGGCGGCGACACCGTTCACCAATTCCGCGGAAGCCGCAAAGACGGAATATTCTTGGGCGGAGAGAGTTGAGAACACGACACTGTTGTATAGTAAGTGTAATGGAATGCTAGAAAGCGCCATCGACCACCAAAGCACAATTCTACCCCGGCCGATTTGTCTAAGATTGCGTAGGCTGGGAATGCCGATATCCAACCAAATTCGTTTTCGATGTGCTTTATCAATCTCTTCGCGGGTTGGCGACGAGAGGCACTGCATTGTGTAGTTGCTAGCACCTAGGAGTAGCGTACTGAGCAAGTTGATGGCTAAGTGCAGCCACAGACTCAGATGCTTTGTCTTTTGGCAGCTTCCTTGCTGTAGAGTTCCCAGCCCTCCTTCCAGACCATCCCCAGCAGCGACACAAGTGATTACAATCAGGTTGATGACAAGTACAGTTCCCGTGGTGATCGCACACAGAGTGACACCCATGCGCCAGCCTTGGAAGTGGCCAGGGAGTCGAAGAATGTCCTTTTCGGATGTAGCTTTGCCGCTTGTAGAAGAAGTAGGACTTGTTGGCCTTGAAAACCCTAGTGGCGGCGCTCCCTCAGAACAGTCGCAACAGGGCTCCGCAATCTTGTCTGGGGTCCTGCGCAATGCAGTTTTCAGCTAGAGCTCAACCCAACAACACTAGCAATACTCACACATCAATGCTACCTGTCTCAAACTCGTACCTAAGTGGGTCGAAGTCGATCGGCGGGAACACGAAAGGCTCTGGGAGCCATGGGCGTGGCTTTGTACTCATACCCTTGGCGATGCATGTGGGTCAAGGCTCCAGCAGTGGTTCAAAGGCCTGTGTCGAAGAGACGATTGAATGCAGACATGGAGGCCGATAACTCCATCTATACGATGGCATCATCAACGACGTTTTGACATTCACGAAGCACAGCCTCACTCGCTAAGCGACAACAATACGCGACACATGACTAGATATTTGCGGCCCACACGGCGGTCATCCATCAAAAGTGGACTACTGCGCATGTCGGCTCAATCCAACCTATTAGTCGTTAATAGAATATTCATGCAGTGAAGCGTTCGATCACTTGCGAGAATCCACATTCTGGTAGAATAAGAAGAATGTATCAAATCCTCGATGTCTCCGTCCCCATCTTTACCATAAGCCCCAGATCTTTATCCCCTCACATGATACGTACTCACCGCGAAGACCCATGCCAGAAACCTGTCTTGCTCCGTCACAAGTTTCCAACACGCACATAGTGCCATAATCCATCCTAGCGTCTCCACAAAGCTGCAACATGAATACCATCACGATCCGCGCGGCTTCCAGGCCCCACGTTAACGAGTTTATGAATCTGGCTTTGTAGGCTTCGAGCCTCGACTTCGTCCGACCAGGTACAAGGCCTTGAGATGAAGGTCTATATTAAGTTAAGGTATAGATACCTATCCCATGAAGCTGAATGTATGTCTTCGAGAGGGAGGCACTTTCCTGGCGTAAGAAAACGCCAAACATTCACATTTTCTATATTATGTAAGCATCTTTGATAGGTCGGAGGCCTGCGCTGTTTGATCAGTCAGTCCCTTGGGACCCTTCGCCACACCGGGGTGGAAGTATCAAACGACTGGATTGTGATTGCATTAGTTCGTTCATTTGCATGCTGAAAAAGACCCAAACGCCTATGCTACATACTAAGTCTATGCCAAAACCCGACTCATATCCGTGTATCCCATGCCTTTGTCTATGAGCCACCATCGACATGATTCAGTAAGCAACGCACGAAGAGCCCTTTCCTGAAACGCCCATGCTGCTCGTCAAGCCTTGCACCGCTACGCCTTGTTGGTGAAGCCGAGGTCCACCTCAATGCCCTGAGGAGTCACATGCCATCTCCCCTTCGCCAGCTGGCCCTGATCATTCAGCTCGGTATCAGAGATGTCGCTCGCATCCCAGCAACAATACTCTTCGTTGCGAAACATGGCGAGCCAAAAGCGCTCGAGGTAGTGACCCGTTTCAGGATCGACGCTCTTCATGTCCCCCAGAAAGAGGTCCTGTAACATCCGCTGGTAGAGTTCTTTTGGATGCTGGTGGACGGTTTCACGTCTTACCGCGAAGATCGCGCCAGGTTGAAAGCCGACCAACTTAGGCGGTCCGTCGTGGCCGAAGTTGTTGAAGAAGTCTTTGAAGTATTGTGCCGGCGTCTCTTGGGCCTTTTTGCCCTTGAATACACCCTCTGGTGATGACCACTTTGCCCAGCATGGGTATTTCTCCCAGGGAAAGCCTTCCCAAAGGTCGAAGAGCTCCATGGCGCGGTGTGGGAAGGTGGTGACACGTCCTGGCTTGGTATTGAGGGCTATTTCTCTCATCTCAAGTGCGTTGAGATCGGTATGGTCATCAACGCGGGCTTGCGTGAAAAGGGTGACATCCTTGAGGCTCTCGTAGTTCTTGACGATATGATGAAGGTAGGTGTGACCTTCGCGGCCGATGTTTTCGAGGGATTCGGCGTCGAACTGAAGCTCGGGCGTGTGCTTGGGGCCACCTTTGGAGTAGACCTTGCAGTATTCGATGACCGGTTTGAGCCAGGTAAGATCTTCATTGTAGTGCGCGACGACTATTTCAAAGTCCAGATGGTCCCGCGTTACGGTTGAGGAGGCTCTCCTGGATGAAAGGGGTGTTATAGCGGATAGGTCTGAAATAGACTCAGTCACTGGTGTGCTTGACAAAGAGACTGCCGAGGATGAGTCCGACGTTGGTGGAGTCTCAGGCGAAGTTGGCTGTGCGGCTGGCGCAGAGGATGCGGACGGCGAACCGAGCGCAGATGTTTTCAATAGGAATGCGACGGCCGATGGGTCTGACATGTTGAGAGTCTTGAAGTAGGAAGAGAGTGTGGATTGGTATGAGTGAGGATCTAGCGGTTGGAGGATGTGGATGATGGTGTGATAGGAGGACGGTGTTGACTATAGAGAGAGGTGATAGTCGATCTTGAACCTGCTGGCTGGTTAATTTCAAGGTGGAGGAGGGGAGAAAGGAAGAAGCAGGGCGTGAGTAGATATGGTCACAAACGACTCACAATGGTCCAATGTTGCCCATCCTGAAACCCTTCACAGTCCGAGCTCCCAGAGCTGCAGCCAAAGCTCGACGTCATTGTTGAGAGATGAGGTGTCATTTATTTTTGTTGAGGCTATGTCACAACCCAACCAGCAAACGTCATTCCTGATAACAGGGAACAGGATTGTGTTGATGGGATTTGAAAGGTGTTGCCGTACCACTCGGAGTAAGATCCGCACCACGAATGGCATTGTCGGTGAGATTGCTCCGGTGCCAGATCATTGCCATAAGTAATGTATGCTTGACGTTGCTGCCAATAGGTATGATGCTGATGATGGTGATGATGTCAAGTAAGCTGCGGGACAAGCATCAAGCCCCAAAGAAGTGTCCACTCCCATCGCTAGCTAAGTACGAGTAGCAATATCGAAATTGAGAATTCCGTACGCCGTATCCACGATTCAACAACCATCGGACGTATCCAACTGCTCTTTATTTCAAAGAAAAACGTGGATACTGAGATGGCAACCGCAAAGTGAGGACGGCAACGTCAAGGTTTGATTTGCCAACGGCCGGGAGTTTTTCTGGTTTCGTGTCCTAGCGGATTATACGAGAATACAGGTGAAAGCGGGGTTACATCCAATCGGAGGAGTCGCCTCTATCTTGAGTCACCGTCGCCATTTCTGGAAAAGTGAAAACTGAGTGTGTAGGCGCTTAGACCTTCCGCAGGAGATACTCGGCCGAGCACTGGAAAACTGGCTGGGCTGTAATCCTAACACTCAGACCATGTGCCTCATCCTTGACAAAGATGAAAAATTAACACGGCTGTCAGACTTGAAACTTGACAGCCGGGAGTGCGAAAAGGCATCTCTGGGGAAGTTAAAAACTAGTACAAACAAAACTTTATGGTTAGCCTGTCGAGAGAGTTGTAAGGTAGGTCAGGTATCAAATTTTTCCAAGTAGCTTCAGTATCTGCAGCCCAGCTCGTTCAGTATGACGCAAAAGACCTAAGCTGAAGTAGGCGTCGCCACGGGACGCTTGAAATGAGGGGTGAGTTGCAAGGCTTTTGACAACATCGTCCTTGACTGTAGAGGAGCATGCCTATCCTCAAAACTGGAGACACCGTCCCCGAGACTTGGCGCCTGTTGAAACAGGGTGGCCAACGTACTAGCATGATGAGAGCAAAGCAACGAAGTGGAGAATACGTGAGTCAGAAGAAGTGCCAACTGCCAGAAATTTCTAGTTCTTTCTTCCCATAGGGCTGAAAGCCGCCGCTAACAAATGTTTTTCTCGCCTCTCTCACCAAAGTACCTACGGGTACGGTATTCACTTTGGCATCAACAATCGGGTGTCGCCTGAAAATTCCCCAATCATGATGGTCTAGAAGCAAAGTCAAGATGAGTTTTGAGTCACCTTGCGATCTGCCAAATTCTAGCTGTGCGTGTCTAGCCTCAAATTCGAGGTCCTACCGCTTAACACAGCTTCCTTGGCCTCGACGTTTTGAACCGAAACCGCGAAAACTTTCCAGCGTAGCGCTCACTACGGTGTGTTTCTCTTTTTGCCCGGTTGCATTTTAGCCGCCATGCTGCCCAGAAAGCATACTACGAGCAGGCAGCTGCTTGCCGAATCAACCTGAATTATTGTACCCAAAGGCCTTCATTAGCTCATTCACCCACACAACTGTGAGTCTTGAGGCTTGTTGGAACTGGAGATGCAAAGTAGACGCGAGATGACGAGAAAAGCCATGCGGGGGACTGGGTCTCAGCAGACTCTTTGATGCTTGGGGGCGAGGCGAAAAAGATAGAAGAAAACTCTGGGCGTGACTTCGTCAGGCGCCTTCCACTTCCGGTGGGGTCATGCTGAGGCTGTGGGGGACTCTTCGACGAAAGATTGTTCAGAGGTAATGGATTGACGAAATCTATGGAGTAAATTTCTATGTAGAGATAGTCGCAAAGGCCTGTGGCAAAAGGACGCTAATACCATACACACATCAATGAACCAATCAAATGGCCATGTACGTATTGCCACTTGTCCCTGCGTATGACACACATCGAACAGTGGTATCACGGATCGACGTTATCAATTATGAATTTGGAAGAGAATGTTGTACCCCCTGCACACACTCATAGACCAACATTTTCTAGCCTCCCTACTAGTGCGAAAATCAATTTTTGTTGGTTATCATTATTATACATGTGCATTCTCGCTAAGGAAAAATCATGTTATTCCTTTCATGCTTTAGGCTATCATACATTCACCAGACGTAGCATCACACAATTCGGCCTTCCGCATCTTCCCGTCCGCCTATCTCACAGGCTACAATGACGTCTCGATGTTGGCTCAAAGGTTCACCCCACCATGGTCGTATCAGAGACGAAGACTTCTCCTACGAAGACTCGCACATGTATGTCTGACCACGTCAACGCACCCCTCACATCTCCTTGGCATCGCCTCAGTGAGCCTGCTAGTACCGGAGAGACCACCCTCCTGACACGATAGCAGCTCGACATAGACTTCTCCGTTAATGCAGGGACCGGACAGGCTCGGGGAAAGGGACCTTGATGCAGACCTGGTAGCAGAAGTCGTGGACGTAGTAGTAGTGGTCGACGACATCAGAACTGTGGGCAATAACAGCCGAGGACACGAGTCTCCGCTAGTGGTATCGCGCCTGCGTATCTCAAGATCTTCATCGCCGGAGTTATCGCAGAGGGGAGACCCCAAGCCGTTCGAAACCGCCACAGGATACA